TTTCAGAGGCTCCATGAGCACACTCTGATCAAGTTAAGAGTGATGAATTCCATTCGCATACGCTTCTTTATAGAGATCTGCGTCATTTTCTCCTTATGGAAAACGAGCCCATTTCGCGGTGGTATTGCGTACTACGCCGCTTGCTTGGCGGCGCCGCGGCGTCCGTAGTATACATACGCCTATAGTATACGTATACTCTGCCAGGCAAGCGGCATAGTACGCAATATCGCCGCGAGATGGACTCAGTTTCCGTAAGGAGAAAATGACGTGGATCTTTATAAAGAGGCATATGCTAATGGAGTTCGTCACTTACTCTTAGCTTGATCAGAGTGTGCTCATGGAGCCTCTGAAAGTAAATAGAGTTATTCATAATTAGTTTAATTAGTAAAATGGAAAATTTTCATTAAAACAGTACTTATAATCGATAAAACTGATATTGTAAAATATACCAAAAACTGCTTTCGCTTTGTCAATTAATAAATAATTCATATACCTATTTAAAAATAAATTATGTACAATAAAAAACGAAATAAGCTATAGCTGCAACTGTTCAAATTAATAGCCTTAACAATAACATATAAAGATAAATATGATTAAATTCTTCCCGAAACAAAGAGTAGTTTTCAGTATGTTGTGTGGAATATTTATATAAACAGTGTCAAAAAATTAAAAATTAAATTGCAAAGATATGTCTCTATAATATACGTAAAATACATAAATGTATATAACATATATATGTCGGAAGTTGAAAAATACAATTTATCAATATAAGTGATCAAAATTTTATCGGATCAAAATATGATATCCTAGGGACGTTTTATATTAGTACAATGATAATTACAAATATCCTGAGGATGATTTAATGTTTTGGATCAGAATGGGATCAATCTGATCAAATTAGGATATCCTAAGGAAATACATTGCTATGTGGGATCTTGCTTTAGTCGGCCGGATCAGCCCCGATCTTATTTTAGTCGGCCAGATCAGCCCCGATCTTGCTTTAATCGGCCGGATCAGTCTCGATCTTGCTTTAATCGGCCGGATCAGTCTCGATCTTGCTTTAATCGGCCGGATCAGCCCCGATTTTGCTTTAGTCGGCCGGATCAGCCCCGATCTTGCTTTAGTCGGCCGGATCAACCTTGATCTTGCTTTAGTCGGCCGGATCAGCCCCGATCTTGCTTTAATCGACCGGATCAGTCTCGATCTTGCTTTAATCGGCCAGATCAGTCTCGATCTTGTTTTAATCGGCCGGATCAGTCCTGATCTTGCTTTATAACTTAACTAATACTTAACGAAAAGTAACTTAATTATAATGTTTTGGAAAGCTCTCGAGATAAGCTCGAGGTAAGAATGTGCAATGAGAAATAAGAGGTTCCATGTAAAAAATTAAAGGTGACCTCCACGTTTCCTGACATATCAGTAATAGCTCCAGACTTAATGAAAACTGAACCGACAATTTATTCGTCTAATTTTGACAGCAAAGAAATTGAAGGTATATATAATATCTTTAATAAATTAAATTTAACTGTATTATATTTTAATGGTAATTTTATATTTTATGTATTGTACTCTATTATAATATAAATAATATATAATGTTCACTATAATACTCAATATATAATATACAAACGTTTTATATTTGTAGAACGAGAAAAAGAAATGGTAAATGATTCATCTAATGATTATCATCTAAATGAAATACTATTATATTTGACGATAAGACAATAAATACAGAAAGTAATAAAGAAGAGAGGTTTCATAATAGCGAAAAAAATATTAACGATGAAATCTTAAATAGTAAGTTTGATTGCTCTAAACGTGTATAATTTATAAAAAACTGATTTAGTTAAAGTTAATGCTTTTGTTTCTGTAATAGAAGAGAATATAGAACCAAGTGTGTCTAAAGAAGAAGAGATAGGTGACAAAGATTCACCATTGAAAGAATCACCATCAAAGAATCTTAACGTTGACATACCGATTACTAAGAATTCTTTGACGACATGTATATAAACATAACATTATATATATATAGCATCAATAGTACTTTAAAAGTAATATATTTTATTTTATTAATTAATACATACATCTGCAGAATGGAAGAGTTTACAGCAAAATAAAGATAAATCTGCATCAATAAAGCGTATAAAACATAATATGATTCTTGTTAATGACAAAGAAGACGAACTGAAAAGAGAAAGAATACAATTCTTGAGCAAGAAAAATTCTTGAGCAAGAAATGGAAATTAATACAATAAAAATAAAACACGAAAAAAAATGTCTGATTTAAGAGTGAAGCATTTAATAAAAATGCAGGAACAAGAATTACTTGCAGCTGTTGCTGCAACAAAAACAGCTGAATCGTAATTACAGTTACAAACTAAAAAAAACGAAAATTATTTTTAATCCTAATATTACACATTTCTTACATATCATATATTAATACACAGTGGTTGCTAAAAGTTTCTGACTAACGTGTACAATAATTTTATGACAATTTTTGTCAACCTGTGTTTTTCATTTTTTTTGTTTTTTTCACGGTACGTGATATATTAAGTTTAATACTTAAAAGTGTTATATCATTTATGCTCTTGCTCTTGTTTCTGTATTTTATTTTATATATTTTATTTTATTTTAATGTTGTGTTAATAATATATGTTTATAATTTAAGGTAAATGTATGTTTCTAAAATTGTTATAAACAAATCTAATTAAAATCATATATATTATTCAAAGCTTAATAATTAAAATTTTTGTTATTTCATCCAATAATTTAGTTATGTGCACTTATAGTCCACTGGTAACTCGTACATTTACTTTATAAAATGCTATGTGCAACTGTGTTGCTACAACATAAAGGGGTGATCCCGATTGATCACGACTCGATTGGACACCACCAATCACAGCGACCAGGTGCCTAGGAGCTTTGTAGTCTCAAGCGCTGTGAGTGGCTCGTGTCCAATTGAGCCGTATCTAATTGGGTGCCACCCCAACATAAATAACTGAATTGCAATTGTTACAAACTAAAAAATAAAATTTTTTTAATTTTAGTATTTGCATTGTGATACATTGTGATACATTATGTAATAAATATTATGTAATAAAAAAATGTAATAAAACATTATATAATAAATGAATCTTATTGTTTGTCAATATTAAACAAAGAAAAGAAAAGTTCGAATGCATGACACAAGTTTATAAAAATATAAGTATTTGTATTAATATTAATTATTGAAAAAAAAACGGATGAACGTACTACATGTAGTATTCTACATTAATGAAATAAACGTTCTATGATAGCATTCCTCATTATAAATCCATCTGCTGGTTGCCATTCTGCATGATTTTCATTATTCTCTCCATTATCATTATCATTATACATTTCATTCTCTTCATCGTCTGGCAGTTTATTATCATAAATAAGTGAAAGATTATGCAGAACTGCACATGCTACAACAATTGTTGTACTACAAATCGGTTTTGTCGTAAGTCTTCGTGCTAAGCAGGGAAATCGCCGTTTCCAAACTCCAAATGTTCTTTCTACGATTAGTCTAGTTTTTCGATGGATGATGTTATACGCGATCTGTTCATCGGTTTTTGGATTTAAAATAGGCGTCAGAAGAAACGGCAAACAAGGATAGCCATTATCATCAACTAATATACCAGTTAATTCTCGTCTCATATAACGCATATAAAGTCTAGAATTCTGAAAAATACGACTATCATGTTGGCTTCCCGGCCACTCTGATATGATATCCAGAAATTCCATCCGTGGTCCAACGACAGCCTGTAAATACATATATAAATAACAATTATATGTATAATTGCTCGATATTTGACACAACAAAACAAATTATCAAAAACCGACCATAGATATTTGATTATATTACACTAAATTTATCAGAGACCTATAACGATAACGAAGTACCGAAATAATATTGATAGTTTTTCGGTTTTTTTTTCATACCGGTACACTATGGGCCGGGATTCGCGAAAAAGCGACCAACATTGACTCTTTGAGCTATAATTTTTTCTTTACATCCGATTAACTTAAAATTTACTACTCAATGCTTTTTGGGGTCGCTGATTAAGAATCCATTATCAGATTTCGAATATTCAAAATGGCGGATACAATATGGCGTGTTGTGTAATATGAAAAGTAGTTCAATTCATGTAAAACTTGTTATTTGGGGGGAGGGGATTGGAGTCGCTAATTTCGAATCCGTTGTTAGATTTGAGAGGCTCAATATGGCGGATGTGACTATTTAGATGAAAATCAATTTTATAAATGTTTATAAATGAACTACTCCTGTTATTAGCCTACAGCATTGCGTCGAATACCGTAGTTTCCAGAGTCTACCGCGAGGAGGTTACAGGTTTTTTTTAAGACTCCTTATTTTTTTTTATTATTTTTTTTTGTTTTTTCATATTGTTTTATTTTCTTTTTTTAAATTTTTTTTTCTATTTTTATCATTTACACGTTTTTATATCAAATACAGAAATATAATTACGGATTTATCGTCGATTAATTAAAAGAATTAAAAATTAAAAATTAAAATTAAAATTAAAAATCTTCCTTTTCTATTTCCGTTTCTTCGTCTGTTAATTCCAAATCTTGTAGATTTGACAATGTTTCTGACAAACCCGAATTATCAATTTCATCTACATTATTATCAATATCATTATTTTGAAAAGGTCCTGTTTCTTCTGGAACAATAACTGCAACTGTAGCGATTTGTGGAATTGCCAATAAGCTACCGACTTCTTGGGAAATATAATAGGTAATTGTTTCCTTTTCAAAATGCGTGAATTAAGCCTTGTGGAAGAGAGTATCTGATGTGTCCATTGATCTATAAAAAACGTCTTCAAGATTTTCCTTTCGTCCACACTTTCGACTGTGGAATTCACGATAACGCTTATAAAATTTATTCCGAGCTTCACTAGCTTCTTCACCAAGCATGCCCACTGGAAATACGCTTGTTCTAATGATATCAGCACCGTGTATAAGTATTTTGTGTAATGTTGCAGACATTGGATACCAAGAGTAGTTAGCAACATAAATTTCGGCTGTACGAAAACAGTATTCATCAAATCGTAAAGGATCCACGGAAAGTTGGCAAGATAGTGCAATTAAAATAGTTTTCAAATTTTTTATTAAGTCTAAATTAAGACCGAGACATTCTGCAAAAACATCAGGGTCTGCAAATGCTCTACGCGCGGTG